TACTTTACACGTGGAATATCTACACCTTTTGGCCCTGTTGATACGCCACTATCTTACTGTTGTACAGTGATTATGATCCACAAAAATTTTAACCCTAAGGTTCCAAGTACTTCCTATTACACCAGTTTGGGTCCATTTTCGGTACCAAAAGCTTCATAATAAGGACTACTTGGACGCGTAGGGTAACTAACACATCGTGCAGGCACGACGTAGCTCCCGGCCTAGACGGGTGCATGAGAGTGCCAACCTGATAATGTAGTGGCCTTATAATAATTAGACTAGGGTTTTGGGGGGGTTCCTTAATATGATTACCCTAAACCCTAAACCCTAAACCCTATATGATCATAGCAAAGCAGACTACCTCCCCTAAAACCCTATTCTAACTATTGAGGGCGCTGTATCAACCCTATAAGCCCCAAATCCCAAAGTCAAAGTGAACCCCGAGAGAAAGGACCCTACGCCAGATCTGGGTCCAGAACTCTGCATCCAAAACCGCTAGATTAAAGGAAACTACAGGTGGGGACTTTAGGGTATCTAGGGCTTCTATAAGGTATGTAGACCTTCTAAAAGGCTCCTATAACGATAACTACCCACCTGAGAATGTCCTAGATCAAGTCAACCCCAAACCCTAAACCCGAAGCCCTAAACCCATAAGCCCTCTCTTTGGCAACGTGCTAAGGCTGTAGCACAATGCCAGGAGGATGTAAGCCATGGCATTGCACATCACAAGCCTTGGACTCAACACTTGGAAGGAAGGCTGCTGTTAATGCTCAGAAAGGGCATCTATAAGGGTTCCATTAATCAAATTTTTAGCGGTTTATACACGGACAGGATAATTGGAATACGGTCCTATAAATTGCCCATAGGCCCTAAAGTAGTTCCTTTTTGGGGTTCATATGTAGAATCCTATTAGGGAATCCCCCAAAAGGAACTACTTCGGGGCCTATGTGTGGGTATATCATATGACACCGTAGTACAACCAATGAGCCCCAGGGAATGATATCCGTAAGTGTTTAGGGTTTAGGGTTTATAGGGTTTAGGGTTTGGGGTTTAGGGTTATTGGTTTAGGGTTTAGGGTTGATCCTGTGGGTCGACGTAGACCTTATACGGGTAATTCTCTAAAGTAGGGTCCCTGTTTCGGTCCGCAACATAGTACGGCACTCTTATGAAAAGAACCCGAAACGGGGACCCCTAATTTAGAGAACTACTCGTTTAGTACCCTTATAGAATGTTGCAAGGTCTCCCTTCACCCCCTAAGGGCCAGGGTATAGAGTTTGGGTGTCAAGGCGTTGAGCTCTGCAAGCTTCGGGCTTGGCATGGTGAGTTTGTGGTATCAAATCGCGCCATCTTGCCCTAAACCCTGAGCCCTAAACCCTATAGGGTTTAGGGTTTAGGGTTTATAAATCTCTTATCCCTAAACCAACCCCGCGCACCATAGTATAGGGTTTTCGGGAACTGTGGCGGGCTATGGTTTCTTGCTTAAGGTTCGCTGTAGCTGTCATTACAGGTGATCTCCTCTTTATCAAGCAATGGCTACGACCAAGTGCTACTTCAAGCCGATATCTGAAGCTAGGATTAGGGGGACCCTTGGGGATATAGACCCTCTCAATAAGGTCTCTCTTCCACAGAGCCAGAAGCAGGGTTAAGAAGGGTCCCCTTTACCGGGGTCTCCCTCACCCAGAGGCTCCATATAGACTACCATTATGGAATTGGGCCCCAAAAGACCATCCTTACTATGGTTTTCGGAGCCTAATTCCATAATAGTAGTGTATATGGAGCCTCTAGGTCATACTACCTAGGAGATATAGCCCAGGCAAGTTGCAGGATCAAAGCTGCGGCCCAGAAGATTTAATGGTCTAATTGTAGGGGCCTCAATAATTTAAATAGGGTTTTGGGGCCCATTATACTATAATTATATAATAAGGAACCCCCAAAATAATATAGGTAATTATTTAGGCCCCCTTCATTACTGGTCTTCGGGCCTAACTAGACCCCCAAACCCAGAACCCAAGAGAACCCGGCCAAGGCGCAACGCTTGCGGAGCGGATTTCCGCGCTCGCAGAGTGTAGACGCTGATGCACAGAAGCCGGATGTCCAGAGCGACGATTCCTGAGGATACAAGCATGTTGTGGGACATCAGAACGAAACTCTTCATAGGAAGTAAGTTCATGCATACATACGTATACATATGCATGTATGTATGTATGTATGTATGTATGTATGTATGTATGTGTGCATGCATGTATGTGTGTATGTGTATGTGCATGTATGCTTATGTGTATGTGTATGTCTATGTGTATGTGTATGTACTTATGTATGTAGGTATGTATGTGTGTAGACATGTATGTATATGTATATATATATATATATATAACATATATATATACACACATACATTTTGATATGTCTGTACATGTACATACACACACACACACATGCAAATACATTAAGCACATTATCTCATGTATTTGCATCATGTTGATATTCATAGTTACTTGATAAACATCTATTCCGAAACTTTCTACCTGTCAAGCTGCCTATCAGTCTATCTGGATGAGTAGGCGTAGGGGTTAGGGTTCGGCATTGCACGGCATCAGTTCCCAAAGGACTCTGCGAAGATGTGCCATCAAAACGTTCTTCTCTGGTGCGTTGCCTCCTACCGTTTGCTTGTGCTTGAAGTTGCAAACTGTACTGATTAGAATTTAGGATAAACCCGAAACCGTAAGCCATTTCACGCGAAACCATACACTGTCGCGTAGCCCTGCAGTAACTATCATGATGACCCACAACCCTGAACCTTGTGGATCCAACATTTACCCCTTATAGAACGCCGCAAAGAGCTTGACTACCATTTCAAAGGGCTCCAGTTGCCTCCTAAATAACGGGCTTCTGGGCTACATCTTATATGTCGGGTAACCTACTACTCAGGTAACTGGAGCCCTGAAAATTGAAAATAGTAGTGTTTTAAGTTCCAAATTCCATAATCTGACTTGGTTTTTGGTACCTAAAGCCTAAGCTGTACTATTTGGGCACTTGGACCCATAAAGGACCCCTCATAGAAGCAACCCCTTGTAAGGTTCATTCCCAGCTGCCGAAAAGGGTGGCTGCGAAGATGTACAACACCTCAGCTTGGACCAAAGCTGAGAGCAGGCAAGGAAGCCCTTTGGGGTTTTGGTTTGGGGACCCTTAGGGTCTGTAAGGTATAATAAGTTCATAAGATTCATCATCACAAGGATCACAACATTCATCATAATCATCGTCGTCATCATCATCATAGACATCATGATCGTCATCATCATCATCATCATCAAAACTTGTCGAAGGCTCCAACCCCTGAACCCTACACCGTTGGGACTTCGGGCATGGAAAAAGGAGTTCGAAAGGTTTTGAAGGCATAGCTGGGGGCTTCCATCTGTTGATGGACAAAATCCTGCATGACCCAAATATATAGTATAGTACCACAAATCCCATAGTTTAGCTATATAAGGTCATGCAGGATTTTGTCCATCAGCCGTTTTAGTGGCGTCCTGCTAAGGCCCCTTGGCCTGGTATTCCTTGCGAGTTCAGGGTTTGAGGGTTTGGGAGCGTGGTGCTTAGAGTTTAGACGCCGCTGATTTACGAGTTGTGTCAGAATTTAGAAGTGTCCGATTTAAGGCTTGGGCCTTGGAGTTTAGAGGCTTCTACGCCCTGAACGCCCCGCAACAAACCCAAAACCCCAAGCCCTAAACCTAATACATCTACAAACCCAGAACCCGAAACGCCTCACCCTTCGGGCCCGAAGCCCCGAACCCTGAACCCTACAGCACGCTTCTCCTACCCTGATATACACGGATCAAAGAACCTTTTTAGTAAAAAAATGTAGCAACCCTTGGAGGAACCGTTTAGTTGAAGTTATTCCCTGAACCGCTAAGCCGCGAATCCCGAACTTTACAACCCTTCACCCTGAGGGCATGGCGACCACAGATAGGAAAACAAAGTCGACGGGAAATATCCGCGAGAGCCTTCAGTCGTCTGGGTTTCAGGGTTTCGTGCTGCTTAGGGTCGTCAGGGTGTTGAGGGCTTCGGCTGATTATCGTAGGTACTAGCAGCCTAGCAGTGGAGGCAGTTTGGCCGGTTTCGCGGGCTTGGAGGAGTAGGAGCTTAGGGGCACTCTTAAAGGCTGGTTTTGCCGGGTTTGGGGTTGAAGGTTTAGGGTTGGCTGTTATCAAGTTGTGCGCGGGTTTACAGTGTTATGAAATGCGGTTTTGTAGCAGACGATCCGGGGGTTCCTTGGAATATATGGGTATTGTGGTCTAGGGCCAACTGTACAGTTCTGGATGCTGAAACTCCCATAAACGTTTTGTGATTCTCTGGCCTCTAAGTCGGTTTATAGAAATCTCGGTTTCGATCTGCATTCGCAGGATTCGTGAGGTCTTATTTGGTGTGGATGATTATCGGACCGAAGATGCTGCTGACGCTGGCTCTGCGCGGCGACGCTTCATTCCATGGTGTTCTGACGAGCTTATTCGAAATGGCTGGTGCAGCGGGTAATAAGAGAGGAATGATGAGAATGATGACATGATCGGAGAGCAGGCTCCCACATACAAAGGACACCTGCTTGGCTGCATCACCTGGATCTCTCAAAATCAGAGTGGCCCGATTTGAGTTCAGGGTCCGTTTGATGCACTGGCCTTCGGAAGCCGCTGCCACGCAATCCAGCCCGGAAGGCTGGAAAGCTCATGGGCCTGATTCTCACTGAAGTTGAACCTGATTTGGCATTCTGTCGGGCCAATAACCGGACAGACATTTACATCATGTCCTGGGTCCCGGATGGCTATCATTTGTGAAAACAGATCCAAACACCGCGAGCCCATGATGAGGTAGCCTCGGCATCTGCTCGACCAAGACCCTTGACTTATTTCCAGCAAACAAATTCGGGAAGAGTGCGCGCGGAAAGAATGTTGCACACTCGTATCCGACTATGACTATAACCTATATATATTTTCAGGAACTAACTAAGCCTTTCGAAATAGGGTTTAGAAGATTCGCATTTCACTTGGGAGCGTTTTGGAAATCAGACGACTGCGTTGTCCAAGGTACTTCCTCTCGAATGCTCACGAATGCATCAGTCCGCCATCTGCACTACCACCGGCGAACAGCTACGTCCGAACAAGTGGTAATTACTGTGCCGCTTGCCTCAGAAATTGTCTCCAAATAGGGGGCACCCTGATATAGTACCCCCAAATAGTAGGATCCTTATTTTAAGGACCCCCCAGATAAGGTACCCCTAATTTTCGGAACCTCCCACATGCAAAACTACAACCCGTGAACCCTCAACTGCCGAACCGCTCCTGTGGTCTTTGCCTAAACCCCTAAACCCCTAAACCCCGAAACCCTAAACCCTAAACCAGAAACCCCTAAACCCCTAA